AAATTAGAATAATTTAGTTGAAGTTTAAATTAAGTATATAAAAGATTTTCTTAATTAATATGTTGGTATTGTGGCCTATGCTATAATTAGGACTTTGAAAATGAAATAAATAAGTAATAAAAAAAAGTCTATATACAAATGTTCTGTTAATTAAGTTTACTAACAGTGAATGTTTAGAAGAGAGAAAGTGAGGTATTAGAAAATCTGTAATCATTTCCAAGAGCCTTGTAATAAAGATAAAGTTCATGATGTCAGCACAGGAGCACATGTGTGATTACAGTATTATAAGAACATATGTTGGATTAAACACTTAACTAGGCACAGGTCACAGCAGGATTAGCCTGAGCAGCAGAGCCAGGATGCTGCTGCTTCATTCGGTTACCCATCTTACCTCATTATATACATGAACATTTAATGTACTTGACGTTATTTGAAGAAGCTTCATGTCTACACTATGTTAATAGGGACTTTGCATGATGTCCAAACCTTGCAGCGTAGAACAAACATGTAGGAACTGTTGATGTGGCATCTCAGGTTGACATAAGACATAAACCTCGTCACACACTCTAATCACAAATAGATGATTTCCTGCATTCTGCTTTTACTGATTCACTGCAAAGAATAACGAGATTTAAGAGTGTCACCCGTGTGCTAGACTGATGTACAGTTTCAATAAAAAATTAAGTCCGAATTCTAAAATAATATATAAAAAAGAATTGGCATTGTACTAAATGTTAAAATGTGATATCATTATTTATTTATATCAAGTTGTGCAGCGGTGGAGCTGTGACTAGCACTGTTGCCTCACAGCAGCAAGGTCCTGGGTTTGATCTTTCTGTGCATGCTCTCCACATGTTTGCGTGGGTTCTCTCTAGCTTCCTCCCACAGTCCAAAGAGATGTAGTTAGTGGGGCCGGGTTAGTTGGTGTTTCTAATAAGCGGATGATAGTACATGACTTTGAGAATGTGCTAGAAATGGTACCATTTTTATTTTTTTTGATAATTTTATCATTGTAATGTTGTTTTTTAGTTTTTATCAGTATCTCCTAACTTTCTGTTTTGAGTCATGACCTGTGATTGTTTTGATTTAAATAGTCTTAAATATAAAGTATTATGTTAAATACTTTGTGTCTTGCTCCGAGTATTATAATTATGGTTTCTTCATAACTGTGACAGGTTTATATTTAAAATTAGAAGAACAGATTAATAATTTTGACGAAGCACCGATGTGTATGAATATGTATGTTATGAGAGTAAAATGTTACACTTTAGGCTGAACTCTCACACTGAGTTTCATGTGTGATCCTGTGTAGGAGGAGAGAGATGGGCGCCGGCCTCGTCTCTGCCGCTTGAAAAAGGGCCCCGATGGCTACGGCTTTAACCTGCACACCGAGAAGTCAAGACCAGGCCAGTTCATCAGAGCTGTGGATGAGGACTCTCCAGCACACAGCGCCGGCCTCAGGCCGCAGGATAAGATCATCCAGGTACACACTCACTTTTTCAGATATCCCTGTGCTTTGACAGCAGCTGCTGTTGATAAACAACACCCATTACGACAAGAGATGATGGCACAGTTCAGTATTGTGGCCATTGCTTTTTTTCACCTGTCGTTAAAAACGTCACACAATAAGAAACCAAATATGTTGTTATTATTGTTATTATTATTTTTTAAAATATTATTATTATTATTATTATTATTATTATTATTATTGTTAAATAGCAACAATAACCAAGAAGATCAAAGACAATTATGTTTGAAAATTAGTGTGAAACTTTGTGATCAAAGTTGGATTTTATTACTGAGTGTAAGGAAAGACGATATAAGAAGAAGAAGAAGAAAACAATGTGACATTCAAAGAATATTGAAAATAATACTGAGGGAAGTATAACATTAGGGGAAGAAAGATTTTTGACATGATTCAGTAAAGGACTAGATGTTACAATCCCAGACAATGCATTGCTTTTAATGGAGAAAATCTTGAGGGATGGCTGTTATGAGGAAAGCAGCCCAGAAACTTTACCAGCAGCGTACATTGTTGTGTGCCTCAACTTTTGTTCTTTTACCCAACCTAACCTGCCATTTTCCCTGGTTAGGGTTAGGGATTAGAAATCAGATCCAAATTGTTCAAATGTGGGACACATCATCAGTAGTGGACCTTGGATTCATCAGGTGTTTCGGCCATTATCACTAGACACCCTCATACAAGGAGGCTCTGCCAGGGTTGATCAGACCCCGGAGTGTGTCACTGGTTTATGTTAAAATTGTTTTTGTCTTCTTCTTTCTCCTGTTTAATTTTCTACAGTTTATTCTATCTATTCACTGCAACTGAGAAATACTTACCTCTTTAGCATTTATGGAGCCTCGTTTCTTCAAAGAGACAGAAAAGGTGACAGAGAGGAGTAAGACAAGTAAGATAAGATAGGAGAGAGCAGAAAGGAGAGCCGGAAGGGGGCGCCCGATCTGGCTTCCCACACCTCCCCATCGGATCGGGCTGTATGCTCTTCCTCCCCACTGCCTCCCAGAAAAAGGGAGAAGAGCAGAGGGGAGAAGAGCGGAACATTTTTCAGTCTTCTTTTTAGTTTTACTACCATGAGGTTAGCTGCACAGTCCCCAGGAGGCCCTGAGACTGTAGCAGTCAACCACCAAAAATTCTAATGTTATGTTTTACCCTTTCGACGCCCTCTGTTGTGGCAGGCCCACCACCAGTCGATCAATCCTTGGCATGTGTATCGCGGTTAGCTGACTGCCTTAGATGCCCAAGTGATGTCAGCCCGTTTTAGCCATAGCCAGTGACTGGTCCTCTCAGCAGTGTTAGCTAGTTCTCTTATAGCCTGCCGTTGTGCCTGTCCTCTGATCCAAATCTCTCTAAGAACTTTTGCTGTTGTACTGGCAACAAAGCCCCTGCACCCCACTTCCACCGGGCGCACCTTGATCTTCCAGCCTCTGTCCTCTGCCTCAGCTGCCAAGTTGGCATACCGCAGCTTCTTACGCTCAATTGCTTCCTCCCATGGTACCATCAGCTCAATGACATACGCAAGTTTATGGGAGTTAGACCAAAGGACGAGGTCTGGTCACAGAGTTGTTGTTACGATCTCTGTAGGAAAAATTAGCCTCTGATCCAAGTCCACTTGCATTTGCCAATCCCTGGCAACCTTCAGCGGGCCCAGGTCTGGGGTTGAGGGGTTCGACCTCGGCTCGTCTCCCTCCCGGACAAATGCTGATGAAAATTGACGGTCCTCTTGCTTCGTGAAGGGTTGAGCGTTGATGGATTTCCTTTTGCGCTCAACTTTCTCAGCCAGACACCTGAGAACCTGGTTGTGTCTCCATGTGTATCTGCCCTGAGTAAGGCTAGTCCTTCAACCAACCAAGATATGCTTGAGTGTGGCTGGGACTGTACACAGGAGGTAGGCTGGGTCCTTTCCAAACCACATCTGCAGATTTATTGGGGAAGGTAGCACATCGTACGTGGCTCGGATGATGAAACTTAGTCTATTAGACTTCATTCCCCAGATTTCACTCCATGAGTTTCCTCTTTTCAACACTCTCCCAATTCATCCAGCGACCCTGCTTGGCCAGCGCTACGGCTCTAGCATGTCTGACTGTTTCCTCCTGTCGTCGCACCTCCTCCACTACTTTCGACATTCGGTTACAGATGCCTGTTGTCACCGAGGTGTTACTGCTCCAAGACCGAATCCTCCTCTGCCCTTTTGGATGTGACCCACCACGTCACGATGTCGAAGAGGAGATTTGGCCTGTAGCACAGATGTGGCTGGGTCGACTTCCTCCCCGTTGCTAGAGTGGGAGCAGTACCTCTCATTATGGGGTCCCGGCAGTCTGTGAGTGACATCTCAAGCTTCACTTTTGCACATTTAAACTCCTCTACCAGGCTAGGGATAGGCAATGCCAGTATCCCGTCGCTATAGAGTGCAACACTGCTGAGGCATTTGGGAAGTCCAAGCCACAATAATTTTGGTGCAAAATTAAAACACCAGTAAGCTCAGAAAGTTAAAGGTATTCTACGTAATTGTAGGATTTGCAGTCAAAAACTTAAATTGATAAATTGTGATAAAGCTCTTTGAGATGGCATATTAGGAAAAGTCTGAAAACAAATTCTTAAGGAGAACCAGTCACAGTCACAACCGCAGATTAAAAGGGCTCGTTTTATGGTTTAAAAGTGCCAAACACAGCAACAGTTGCCTTAAGGTGACTATAATGAAAGTTAAACAACTTTCGTGTGTGTGTGTGTGTCTGTTTTAGCTGTGTTAGCCATATATATATCAGCTGTAATCCTATTACTTCAGTGTGAAAATGAGAAACTGAATGAAATATTAGCAGAAGCCGAACTATTAAGAAGCTTCTTTGTTTACATGTGGTGTAAAGGAGAAATCGGTATTCTCTGCCTCATTAAGTGTGTGGGAGAGACAATAATCCTTTAGAGTTAATCTGCTTAACATGTCTGTCGGCTGAATTAGAAGCTTTCAAACTGTCCACTCGGGCTTCTCCCATGCATGGGAGAGAAAGGCTACATTTGGGATATTGTAAAGATTTAAAAGCTGAATTTTAGTGTAATTTGAGTCTTGTGGGCAGTCCTGGAAGTTCATGTCAAGGTTCTGAAGCAGGGTGTTCTGTACCATCTCCTGATGTTCCAGTGTGGGAGCTGGTGAAACTTCTCCGATTTTCCTCCCACAAAAATTCCTCAGTGACTTATCTCCCTGGGTGCTTAATCAGTTTCAACTCTGGGAGTATTCTAGTACAACACTCCTCGTAGTATGACACAATATTAGCCATCACCAGTGCCATTAATCTCCTTCAGGGTGTCCATTCCATTGTCATGACAGTTCACTGACTTGATATGTAGTCCTCTGTGTGAATGGGCAGTGACAGCCTACAGACAATGGATCTGAGTATTTCCATTTGTCCAAAGAAACTCTTTGCCAAAGTAAGCCGGTTAACTTACTGTTAGACGAATGCAAGAAAAAGGAATGATGCTCTCCACCATGTGTTAAATATCCTGATTCGTTTTATTCAGTTTTATTTATGTGGCTCCAATTTCACAATAGCACTCATCTAAAGATATGTATATATTCTCCCAATATTAGAGACAGAACACCAGCAATCAGTCTCCTTTTACCAATAACTTGGCAATTGTGGGGAGGAAGAACCCTCTTTCCATGTTAAGCGACCTGCACCAAAAAACTTCTTAGAGAATGTAACAAGTGACCGGGGCGATGAAGAGAAATATAAAGAAAATAAGTGCATAGATTTCCAAACCAAGAAATATGCTTTTAACAGTCATGCTCAACAAAAAGAAGTTGTTTAAAGCATCTACCCTACGTTCTACCAACACACTCTCTTGGGCACTTCAGAGATTTTGCGACATTGTCAGTGATGACATAAAATGGTTGGTACTAACTGCTATGCACTCACAGGGAGTTCTGATCGCAGAATGAGGTAAACCAATCAGTTTGTTTAGTTAGTTAAATAAACAGTAGCTTTTCATTCTGCTTTGTTAGTATTACCAATATCTTTGATAACAGACAATAGTAAAAGCTCACACACAATCTAGGTAAACACGTACATGTTTCAGATTTTTGCTAAACTATAATAAAGGGTTCGTTTTCATGCTGGTTTTAGTAACTGCATCAGCTGGCTAAATTCTGTCGCTGTCATTGAGCACGCCAAGTCAAGTTGAAACATTCTGTCATTAGAAGTAAATCAAGAGTAATAAAAAGTGAGTAATAATGTTGTACTAATAAAGAATGAGCATGGTAAAAATTGGATACTGAAACTGAAAGTTAAATCGAATTCATATATGCATCGTACTCATTGAATCATTGAATAAAGAACTTTAAAAAAAAATAAAAAATTTAAAATAAATAACATGTTTGGAATCAAAGAATGCCACATCGTTTGATGGAAGTAAAAAATTAACTTACTTCAAAGCTGAATTATAGACACCCTGAAAATCCAAGTGTAAAAATGATGTGGCAGGCTAGTATAGTTTGCTGAAATTTCATTGCAGCAACTTAGAATGGTACTCAGTAGTTTGTGCTTGTATGCATGCCTGACAACATAAGGACATGCTCCGAATGAAGAGATGGATGTTGTCCTGCAGGATGTCCTCCGAGATCTGGACCAGAGCTCCTGGACTCTCTAAGATGCAACCTGGCGGCGTCGGATGGATCCAAATATAATATCCCAGAGTTGTTCTATTGGGTCTATTGGTCAGGCGAACATGGGGGCCAGTCAGTGGTTGGGTATGAACATCCCGCACACAGGATGTTGGGCACAAACACTTCGCATGAACATTCTGTCCGAATAGTCTGTGCACAGAATGTTGGAACCTTGCATCTACTGCATCGCTGTAGCATCTGACGGTCGGTCCAAGGATTTCATCCCAATACCTAATAGCAGTCAGGGTGCCGTTGCCTGGCCTGTAGAGAGGTCTTTGCATCCCTGCAGGGATATGCTTCCCCAGACCGTCACTGACCCTCCATCAAATCACTCGTGCTGAATGACATTAAAGGAAACATTCTCAGTGACTTATCCAGACACTTCTAAGTTTGTCACATGTGCTTAGGGTGAACCTCTCTCTCATCTGTAAAAAGCACAGTGGGGGGACCTGCCAGTTCTAGTATTCTATGGCAAATCCATAGTCCACCATACCAGACAGTTAACACAGGGCTAAGGACGCTGGGCTCTGTCTGTCTCCTGGAACGTCCTCAGAGACACAGCAAACCTACCTGTGAAACAGCCGAGCGTCAATCCAAGTGTAACCTTCAATAACAGAAAATTAGAGAGCAACAATTTTACACTCAGATCATTTCTGCTTCCCTTTGGTTATACAGTCACTATTTATTCAGTCTTTGTGTTTAAGTTGGACACAATAAAATGTTTCTGCTTATTTACTGATTTATAACACGTAAAAATCATGATCAAAAATACAAAGATAAGGTTGTTCTCCAAACCGTTAACTGAGAAAATAATAAGCAGGCTTTAGTAAAATGGGCCATGCTATAACTTTCGGTCTCTGGAGGGAAACATTGAAAATGGATCATTTTAGAATTTAAGAACTTTTTCCTAAGTTTCTCCTGTTGTCTCTTCAGGTTAATGGTATGTCTGTGGCTGGGATGCAGCACTCAGAGGTGGTGGCAGCCATAAAGGCCGGAGGAGACGAGACTAGGCTACTGGTGGTTGACATTGAGGCAGAGGAATTCTTCCAGAAATGCAATGTTATGCCCACTGAGGAACACATCAGTGGTACCACACTTTTTACTGTTTCCTTAATATTTAGAAGTACAAAACATAATACTGAGGAAAATTATTTGAAACAGAGTGAAACGAGGACTTTTCTGTTTTGTTTGTTGTTGAAGGACCTCTTCCAGAGCCAATGGCAGAAGACAAGGTAAGGACCCCTTGCATGCGTACACACACAGACAATGCTAATACATTTTGTTCTCACCACTAGATGCCCTTTAAAAGGCTATTTTTTCTACATTTACCAAAATAACGGATCATTATCACAGTTAAACAACCTAAAGAACAGTAAGAAAGTGTCGTCTACTTCAAAATTCTGACTACAAACTAATGAATGAAACCAGTGAGCATGTGACTCAAAGTTATTAATGTTTGTCAATCATTCCAAACTAGACAGTTTGGAGTCACACCAGTCACACCCCCAAGGATGCTGTTTTGAAGGAAGGTTCAGAGGAGGTTGCAGATTGTTACCATCATGGGCTCATCCGGTCAGGATGAGAATGAACAGTCAGTAATCACTTGCAGGGTTTTTTGTTTTATTAAATAATGAGCAAAAGGAAAGACACACATGGACTCTATCTCTGAAAGGAAATAAAGTATGATTTAAGTAACTCAAAATAATACATGAACTCAGAAGACTTGAACAGAAACTCACCTCAGCTGCCGCCCCATGTGGCAGTGAAGAAAGAGTGAGCTGTAGGTGAGTGCAGTCCTTATATAACGAGTTACAGGTGAGTTCAATTAAGGGCAAGCACCACACCCAATCAAAGGTGAGGAAAAGAAACAAGGTGCATCTAGTGAAGTGAGTGTGCTGAGTGGTGAGCCTTTACAAAAGATGCTGTCTTTGAGGTCTACTATCTACCTGATTATAGCATAATGTTGAAAGTGATCATCATCACACAAACCATTAGGACCAAAGCTGAAAGAAAAATCACATACACATAATGTTATAAACAAAATATATTTAGTACTTCATGGAAGTAAACTGGCACTGTGCAGGGGTTCATATATTTGATGGCAAGTGAAAGCTCGCTGGTTTGAATCCAGTGGGAGAGACATTTTTGGGGTTGCATCTGGCATGAAAATCTGCCAACTGAAAATAGCCCCCTAGTGGCTGTCTGTGGTCCTACACTTTAAGATGCTTTTGCATTGAGTTCCATTTAAAGCTCTGATTGTTTCTTCTTTGTCCCATCATGATTTGCATTACTTCAATTATGCATGCTACTTTGTACATGTCTGTATTCATAGTAGGGTTATTTTAAAGGATTTTGAATTTCCACATTAAATTGATCACGGTCGTTGCATTGACATTAATATTAACGAGTCTTCTGCAATTGAAGAGATAACATTAAGCAGCCCGAGAGAGTGAAGCAGGATGCAACTGTGTGACATATACTTAAGTAACAAATGTCACATAAAGAGTTCAAAATGTAGCAGACTCACTTCTCCTCAGCCTGAGAAAACCAGTGCAATGCCCCTTTAATTAGCACAGGCTCAGTCATCAAAATAAACACCACCCACTACGTCTATACACACGCACACACACACACCCAGTGACAACATGGGAATTGTGGATTGGCCCCTCTAGTGACATTGTGGCTGACCTCTTCACCATGGCAACAGGAGTAGAAGATCATGGGATTGCAGTGGCTTTAATTTGAGGATTATGCTAATGAGCAGCATTCACACACTCTCGCATACAGCCAGACTTCTGTAGTGAACAATCAGTCATTCACCAGCTGTTATATAACATGGCGGCATGAATCCATACCCTGACCTCTGACCTCCAGTGTGCCTTTTATCATCAGGTGGCCAATAGTCCTGCTTAGATATTCAGTAACTTAAAAGGCTTTTAAGTGGCATTAGTGCAAATGGAATACTATTAGAGGCGTCTGATGAAGACACCTTACAGCAGAGGGCTCATGCTCGTGTGCAGCATGGGGCTGGGGTTATTTTTAGAGAAACAGCTGCTTCCACACTGGAGGCCAAATTTTCATAGATGAGGTGAGTTCCACACTGCATATCAGATAGGAGCAGGGCTATGTGCCGATCCCTGAACGGTCTGCTCAGAGAGAGGACTGCTCACACTGAGCCTCTGAATGACCAGCCCCCCCTGCTGGTGACACTCCCCTCTCTCTGCCTGCACATTTGGTCTTGATAATTAAAAAGAAATGTTTGTGTGACTCTCGTAGAAGAAACACACCACGTCTGTGTTCTTGTACTTCGCTTCAGATTGTTTGATGTAAAAACACAGACTGTCTTATATAGCACTTTCCTACTCTCCCACAGTACTCAAAGCGCTCTATACAGCATTCACCCATGCACACAAGCACTGTCTTCTATGTTTTAAAGTGCTTTATATCTACCATTCTCACTCCAATGGATGCATCAGAGAGCAACCTGGGGTTAATATTTTGCCCAAGGACATTTGGCTTACAGACACCACCAACTGTCCGATCAGCAGATGACCTGCTCTACCTCCTGAGCTACAGGTGTTGGACTCTAACATTGAATGAGCTTTTATTTTTGCTTTTTTGGTGAAGTTTCCTTTCTCTGGAAATTCAGAAAGGCTTCTAATGAGCAGCTAGTTGAAATGAGCTACCGCTAAACTTTGAGTTTCCACTGGGTTTGAAAAGAGTCTAGTTCTGCATAATCGAAATGTTCATGTCCTTTGAAGCTGAGATGCTTTCCGGATGGTGTTTTGTACTTTGGATGAATTGACCCTTTTGAATGTGTGTTGTGTGTTTTGGCAGATAAATGCAAAGCCTAAAGTATCTGCGAGCTCTTCCGTCTCCAGTGCCTCTTCCAGCAGCTCCCTACCAGCAGCAACAAACAACTCCTCGCCTTCAGAGGTACTGTCTCCATGCCACTGAAAGATTTGGAATAGTTTTAAAGCTCAGAGAAAAACGAACTTGTTTGAATATATGTGTGTTTCTAGATTGAAAGGGCTTCGAGGTCAGAACCGGCCCCAGCCATTGACAACCTGGGTCTTGCCTTGACAGTAGCTCAGGCCAAAGAAAGAGCCCAGCAGAAGCGTGGCGCCAAGAAGGCCCCGGCCATGGACTGGAGCAAGAGGAATGAACTGTTTAGCAACTTATAAACACCACGGGCGTCCTCATGTCCTCCAGGTGGTTCTGTACTGCCATCCAGAGGCCAATCCAGAGAAATAATCAACCCACGCTCTGAGTGAAAAATAATGTGGCATCAAGCTTATTTTAAACTCCCATGTTAAACAGTATTATATGATGATTTGTTTGTTTTAATTTAGGGTTTCTGTGACTTCTTAACTTTTGAATGACGTTTGAAATGTCAGCATCACACACAGAAATGAATGTTAATAATATATCAAGAAGAGAACTAGCAGTGTGCACTTTCTCATACGAAAAGGAGCGTGAAAGGAATTTTGGGGCATAGGAACGAGAAATTATTGATTATTTTTGAGTCGTGATTTTAAATCTGAACATTTTAGAAAGAATGTAGCACCTCTGTCTACTCTTCTTTACCTTGTTTTTTTTTTTCAGTCTTAATTTGTGATTCAAACGAGATTATTATTTTTCTTTTTAATGTGGCTTTTGATAAATTTGTATATACACACAAATGTATTCTCAAGGAAAAGAAATGTTCTGTGTTTTGTTGATTCTGCTGAAGTCAGTTCAATTTTAAAGCTGCATCTTTTGGCTCGAGCGTCACTTACACACTTTCACTCCAATGGAAATATACAGAATGTACTGATGGCTCTGTGCTGTAGAATGTCTTAATGAACATTGATAAACATAGCATATCAATAAAATGGAACCCAGTCTGGTTTTTAATGCACATGATCAACCTTGAAAACACTGATCTGAAAGCAGCGTTCCTGAAATTCCTGTTATAACTGAGGATCCAATGCTACTTGGGGTGATGAACCTGTGCTTGGTGAAGTTTTACCTGTTTTATACTCAGTGCACAGTCTGGTGCTCCGTCAGATCAGTCCAAAAATTCCCTTTTTAATGGAAAATGTCATGAGGTGAAAGAAGAATGTGAAGGAGAATCCATAAGCACTGAGGCAAAGCACGGTGAAAGAATGTGATTGCACTTATACTAAGCTGCTTTATAATGTGACAGCAGATGTTGGTGTTGCAGATGTCCAACAAAGCACATCTTAGATATTTCATCTTTATGTCTTCAGTCTGTCGTGGTGAAGAGAGAGCAGAGTGTAAAAGCAAAGCTCTCGATTTACTACGTCCCTACCCTCACCTATGGTCACCAGCTGTGGGCAGTGACCGAAAGAACGATATCGCGGATACAAGCGGCAGAAATGAGCTTCCTCCGAAGGGTGGCCTCTCTGGTCCTCACTGTGTTTTATACAGGCTGTGAAAGCATACGCAGATCAGTGGGAATCACTTAATTCCTGAGGTAGTGGGATGTACTAGGTTTTACACGTCTGTTCATCTCTGTCTGCATTTACCACATTTGTAGAGTACTAAGGAGCCGACTATGAAGCAAGTTTAACAGGAGCACTCAGAGAGAAGGGCTATCCTAA